TTTTTGGGCTCAAATGAAAGAGCGGCTCGAGAAATGGCGTGCTAGGGCCTCTAAACATGACAAATGTCTCTAAAGATGATGTCTGACATCTCTACTACAAACTTCAACTCGGGCCTTCAATTGAACTCGGGTCTTCAACTCGGGCCTTCGATTGAACTCGGGTCTTCAACTCGGGCCTTCAATTGAAAGACCCCCCAAAACAAACGCAATCTAAACTTCCAAAACTATCCGCCACAGCGTGCCAATCGCTTCGAGTCTTCCCTCTACATCATCTCCCCGATTTCATGCCTCTCCCGTGTTATTCCCACGTTCCCCCCTGCAATTATCGCCACCCAGTGACTGTGAAAGCCCCTCGAAATCTCTAAAAATGTCAGTAAAACCCAGTAAAATAGTCTGAACGTTCGAAGAGCTTTCTAAACAATCGTCTCAACTCGTTAAAATGTCTTGTCAAATCGTAACCTAGACCCAGTGAACGTAGTTACGCCCCTCTAGCTCTCACAAAAGACAAAACTCCCCCCTCCCGAACTCGACTAATTACCCCAGGAGTCAAGGAATCCGCGGAAAAAAAAAAGTGATTAAAAATCAGGAAATATCGCAGCGTCGAGGACGTTGCTGATTTTAGTAATTAAATGTTGATCATTTCGCCCGATAAAATCGAGGAACCAACGTCACCGTCGGGTACGTCGTCGCCCACATCGACGTCGTCACCAGGATTATTAGTCAGCACACCAGGAATGTCTGGAGATCACAGACCTGTCATTCGTTATCCATCTGAATATGTTAAATTAAATATTGGGGGATCGTTGCATTACACTACTATTAGCACACTCAGGAAACATGATACCATGCTTCGTGCCATGTTCAGTGGACGAATGGATGTGCATACGGATTCTGAAGGTGATCAATCATTTTTCAGAATTTTTTAAAATGATTTTTCAATGGATTTTTGGAAGGAGGAGAAATTAATAAAAAAGGGAAAATTGAAAATTGAGGTTTTAGGGGGGATGGAGGGGGATTTGGCGGGCGAGGGGGGGTGGAGGAGATAGCTGGGGAAATTTGGGATTCAAAACACTATACATAATTTTTTTTTTCATGATTTTTTCTTGGCATAATTGATAAATTGGATTTTGAAGAATAAAAATTCTTCAAGAGGAATTTGAAGAGATGAAAGGGTTCTATTATTTTAAGGTGGAGATAGAGCTGGGTTGTGGGGTCATTTTGCACCCCCGGGGAATATTTAATAATTTTTAAGAATTTTTAAACATTTTTTTCACGAATTTTTAGTGATTTTTTTAAGAGAAATTGAAAAAATTAAAAATTGAAGTTTTGGAAGTGTACGAGGAAAATTTGGGGGGTGGGAGTGGGTCAGCCAGATAATTCAGAAAATTTCGGATCCAAAAAACTCAAAATAAATGTCTCTGCCCCAGTTCTTCCCCAAAATTAAAAAAAATCCTCACAAACTCGTCTTTTAAAATTCCCTCTATCTAAATCTGAATTTCTATTCCTCAAGACCTGTTCTCCACTCGCCTCTGAATGCCCCATTTCGTCATGGGGAAATTTTCAACCCCCCAAGCCCTAAATTCCAATTTCTACCTAAATTTCATCATTTTTATTATTATCTTATTTTCTTTGAATTCTTTTCTAACGTTTCAGGTTGGATTCTCATCGACAGATGTGGAAAACACTTCGGAACAATTCTCAATTTCCTGAGGGATGGCTCAGTGGGCCTGCCCGAGAGTACTAAAGAAATAACAGAATTACTGGCGGAGGCCAAATACTACTGCATAAGTGAACTAGCTGAATCGTGTGAACAGGCTCTACTTCGTAAAGAGAGAGAGGCCGAGCCAATTTGCAGGGTTGCACTCATAACATCACAGCGAGAGGAGCAATTGTTGATCAGTAGCACTACCAAACCGGTTGTTAAACTTCTTATCAATAGGCATAACAATAAATACTCATATACCAGGTAATAATCGATTTTCCACTGCATTAAAAAAATTTTCATTCGCTCGAAAATCGAACTTCAATCGAATTCTAGAGCTGAACGTGAAATTTCATTTCAACTATTTTTTTTTTGCTATTTTGAATGACTAAAAATGATGTTCCCGAGTGAATTGTTGAGCTCAGAGGTGGAGAATCAATGGATTTTGTTTTTTTTCAGCACGTCTGATGACAATCTATTAAAAAATATCGAATTATTCGACAAAATGTCGTTGAGATTCAACGGGAGAGTTCTATTCATCAAGGACGTGATAGGCTCAATTGAAATATGTTGCTGGACATTCTATGGTCATGGGAGAAAAGTTGGTGAGGTCTGTTGTCATTCGATTGTCTACACGACTGATAAAAAGCACACGAAGGTAATAAATCATCGAGTATAATTTTTCTACCGACTGTTTATTGAGAATATCTCGGGGACTAGAGGGTTCATCGCAAAAAATCAAAACGCTTTTTGAAGGGTTTGAAATTCTCCACAAAAAGTGTCCCGTAACTTTTTTCTGCAAACCCACTCGTTACACTGATAATCGCCCAATTACCTCTAACAATAAAAAAAATAAACTTTCACTCGAACCAAAACTGTCTCTCTATTCTCCCAATTATCTCCCCAGCCGTTGAAGCTACAAAAAAATGTTAGGGAGCAATTTTATAGCTCTCGAAATGTCCCACAAAAAATGTTCTATGAAATTTTTCCACTGAACCCTTTCCCTCCAAGATATTCACGATTTAAATCCACAGGTCCTTCAATTTCACCCCTCAACCCATTGAAAAAAAACTGTTTGACCTTCCTAATTAATTTAATGACTTCTCCTCCACCAGGTGGAGTTTCCCGAGGCTCGTATCTACGAAGAGACCCTCAATATTCTTCTGTACGAGCACAGAAACGGCCCAGACCAAGAATTAATGCAGGCAACATCATCCCGAGGTGCAGTGGGTGGTGGCCCTCCCTGCACCTCAGACGAGGAAGAGGGTGAGCGTTCTGGACTAGCTCGACTACGCACCAACAAGCAAAATACCAACTGACCCCCCCTAGCTGTCCTCACACCCCCCCACCCAGCATTACTGAGCTTAGTGAGATCATTGAAAACACGTGCCCACATTAAATAGACGAAAACCATCGGGAATACACCAAATTCCCCCCGAGTATTAAAAAAAAATAATGAACAAGACAATTAAACGATTGATTATCCAGCAAACATGTTGATCGACTCACGCTGACAATTACTGAATAATTAATTACTTCGGTTTTGTGCCAAAAATAGAAATTAAGGGAGAGGGAGGTAAAAGGGACGTTCTTAAATCATCAATATCTCGCGACTAAACGATGCAATTTGAATAAATCAAATTTCATTTTAAAGTCATAAAAAAAAACTTGAAAATGAAAAAAAAATCGACATTTTTCACTCAGCCAATCTTGATTTATTGGAGATTGAATAGTGAACGGTTCATTTTACCCCGCTCTCCCCTATCATTTTTTTCCCTCTAATTAATTGATTGATTGATTAATTTAATTGGATAATTTCCTCAATCCCTCTGTAGATTACTGTTAATTGATCAATTATCGAGTCATTATTTATTCACCCGTAATTTATGGTAAAGATAATTAATATTAATGCCAATAAAATCGTCAGGATTAAATTATCATTTTCTCTTTGTTAATTATTAATGAAAAATTAAATTAATTACATTTGCATTATGACGACGTATGGATTACCACTGCCAATAAACCATGAAAAATTTATCACTATAATCGAGATCATTGTTTTAAGTATTAAAAACTTTCTAAAGTAATTTTTCGAATTTTTTTCTTTCGTTTTTTTTCATTTTTTATTTCACGAAATTGAGAAAAATGATGCGATTATTTTTCTATCTGCATGGCGAACCTCATCCGACGCATCATTTTTTTATCAAATGGTTAATTAATTAACGAACAATACAGGGTTTTCATTGTCCCCCCCGCCCCTGTGGGCAGATGCAAATTAAATATTTCATTCGAAAATTATATAATGTCGAAAAAAAATGAAGTTTAAGTGTGTAAATTAGTACATAAAGTGTTGAATAATAACTGTTGAATAACTATAATGTTTCAAGAGAAACCCAGTGAGGAAACTGCACTGATAAACAATAATCATCATTTTTTAATCAACGACACGAGTTTTTCTTTCATTCTGGCATTTAAGGGAAGATTCTAGTTAAATTAATTAGAAAGCATTAATTCTCTCGTGACCATCAGATAGCCAGCGAATTTGTCAACAAATTTTAAAAAATACTCGTTTTACCCCCGAGATTTTGTTTTCTGAAAAAATATCTGACAAAAGAGAATTGAATACTATTCTATGAAACATGAATGAACGAGTCATAATTGTCCAAATCATGTGTGTTCTAGAAGGAATTTAATTGTAATTATGATTAAAATCTTATTCAGTGAGCGTAGGAATTAGAACATGAGCAAATTATTTATTGTAATATGAAAATTTAACAGCTGATAAATTGGGACATATGATTCTCATCGGTCGTATTGATTTTTGCAATGAGAATAATTATAAAAAATTAATTGAACAATGGAATATCGAATCTAACAGCTAGTATTGAAAAAAAAAGATTTTTCGCTGTAATTAAAAAACTAATGGGGCAAAACGGGTCGACTTTTTTTTTTTCAAATTTATGGGTAAATGTCCCTGGCTGCCTGATGGGGTCACTTACGACCCCACAATCCCAGAAGATATCAAACACAGATGAATATAAATGTGTGCCAAAATGAATTTTTCAATTGTTGAATTAAAGACCAGGATTAATTGATAAATCAATGATTGTGGATAATGTATGTTGTTCAATGATATAAAGTTTCCAGAGTTGGTCTGGGTCATGTAATCCGAGTGAAAAGTATAAGTTATTGTGATAAATGATTGAAATAAAGTTGAAAATGGAATTTTATCTGAAATATTTCTTCTCCCTTGGACTTGTCAGCGATAAAATCAATTGATTTTGGATGTAAAAAATAGATGGAATTGATTGTGATGTGTTGCTCGCCGCGTTCATGGGCCCTGAGGCCCAGAAATTGTTGTCAACGTCCCAAAACAGACGTTCAGGTCAAAATGGACGAACGAATAAAAAATGAAAACATGCAGTGAAGCAGAGCTTCTTCAATCGTCAATATCTCAGGATCTAACGATCTGATTTGGACGAGTCAGGGTTTATTTTAAAGCTAGCGAAAAAATTTAGAAAATGAAATAAAAAATGTCGGAATCGTCTCAGCCGGTCTCGAGATATTGACGATTGGAAACTGTCAATTTTCAATTGTAGATTTTAGCGACTCACCAGGAGCTGAAATTCTCTCCTGGACCTCGGGATCTCCAGTGCCTCCAGGAACTCGTCTCCACGAACATCACTTGCACTAAATTTTCGAAATTAAATACCCCACAGACAGGACTGCATCCGCCATCTCGCGTATTTATGCACTCGTCGACAAATAAATTCCCGAGAGCACTTTATCACTTGGTTAATAAGAAAAACTTCACCACAAACCACAACACTAAAATTCAAATAAAATCCCGAGTCCACTGTTCAAACTCATCAACTTGTTTTACCACTTTTTAATTGATTTTTAGAGTCACTGAGTCCATCAAAACTATTAAAACTGTCGGAACACTGGGTCATCGTCGGGAATTGCCTCTAGGTGTCATCTCGTGGCGTCACAGATACGTCGGTCACACGGAGACTAGTTTTACACTCTTCGAAGCGTTCGTATCATTTTTAAACTGGGAATTGGTCGGAATATTCAACCATTTCATCGTACTACTGTAGCTGTTCGTAATTATTAATTAATTACTGCATTGTTCCGAATTATTTTAATGATTTTACCAGCAATTTATTCGAAAATGCTGAGACCAATGCCAATAAACTCGATGGGCAACCGTTTTGGATGTGCGCGGAGATGTTGCGCAGAGGCTTTTCCCCTTTACTCGTGTGTAAATTTTGTTTTTACCTCTTAAGACTCGTAATTCAGCAGAATAATTATGAATTTCATGTTGAAATCATTGTTGTCCCTTATTATTAAGTAATTATCGCGTTTTTAATAATTATTTTGATGATTTTACCACTGATTTTGGACGAAATCCGGAGACGAACGCCAAAAACTCTAGACCAGTCAGCCATTTTGAATGTGCGCGGAGATGTTGCGCAGAGGTTTTCCCCCTTCACTGATGTTCATTTTTATTTTTAGGCTTTAAGACTCGCAATTCACCAAAATCATTGCGGATTTTATTGTAAAATCATTGCTGTCCCTCATTATTAAGTAATTATTGCGTTTTTAATAATTATTTTGATGATTTTACCACTGATTTTGGACGAAATCCAGAGACGAACGCCAAAAACTCCAGGGCAGTCAGCCATTTTGAATGTGCGCGGAGATGTTGCGCAGAGGTTTTCCTCGGTGACTCATGTGTAATTTTAGTTTTTACCTTTCAAGGCTCGTAGATCAGCAGAATGAGCGTGGATTTCATGATTAATTAATTGCTGTCCCTCATAATCAACTAATTACTGCATTTTTAACAATTATTTTCATGATTTTACCCCTGATTTTTGGATAAAATCCGGAGACAAACGCCAACAAACTGGACCACGGCGGCCATTGTGATGTGCGCAGTGACATTGCGCAGAGGTTTTTCCGCTCCCCCAAAGAAATTTTAAAAAATCCTCAATTTTCATCGAAAACCCCACTACAAAAACAAGAAATTCTCCATTGTTAATAAAAATAAAAATTTCAAAAATGAATAAAAAATCGAATAAATCGTTTTTGACTTTTTTAAACGTCTCCAGTCGATAAAAATGGTCTCTACACACTAAAAAAAAAATCAGAAGACAGAATAAATGATGAAGTTACATCATTACAGCGCAATAACAAAACAAGAGGAATTCCTCGAGAATAGTCGATCAATTGTTGTTGAAAAATGTTGAGTGTCGTGAGCTCTTGCCCCCCAGGGGCCCACCTGAGGTGTTTGGCGTGTCCTGGGGCACTCAGGAGCAGCCGAGGAGTCCTGGAGAAGCTGGGGGTGCGGTACAAACACCGGACATTGAAAGTGAGTTGAAGAGACTTTGGCAACGATTTTCGTGAGTTTTTTGAGGATTTGGGATTTTCCCCGGAGGTAGAAGTCCTACCAGGCCCTCGGGCTGACTGAGGACTGCGAGGATGAGGAGTTGCGGCTGGCCTTCGTGCACCTGGCCAAGCAGTACCATCCGGACAGCGGGTGCTCCGGCGCTGACGCTCATAAATTCTCAGAAGTGAGTGCCATTCAGTAGCCAAGTTGGGTTTTTTATGAATATCTCCGAATCTAAGGGAGATAGCGGAATTTTCGTAATTACATTTATTGTAGCACTTGATCGGCTCTACAAAAAAGGTCATAACAAACATTTTGCTATCTCCCTTGGATTTCGAGATATTCGTTGAAAACTGGTCATAGTCAAATAGTCCAAATTGACTTGCGCCGTTTTTCCCCTTCGCTACTTAATTGCTGTTTAATTGTGGGGGCTGGGGAGGTTGAGGGTGCCTACAGGATGATCCAGCGTCAGAGGAACCTGGAGAAGGACAGGGGTGAGCAGCTGCCGGACGTCGAACACTTTGATATCCAGGTGACGACGTCAATTCATTTGCAAGTCGGGTTTTTTGGAAATATCTTCGGATCTATGCGAGCTATCGAAATTTTCGTAAGGACCTTTTTTCTAGATCTCTTTGCGCTCTGCAAAAAAGGTCCTCATGACAATGTCGCTATCTCCCTCGGATTCCGAGTTATTCATCGAAAACCCATCCCCTGAAATAAACCAAAAAGGTATTTCTCGCCTGAGGATAATTCTCTCTCAGCACACAGCCCCCCAGCACCGTCATTTCCTCAGCTACGACACAGGCAGGGGCACCCTGAGCCAACGACAACGGAGGTTCACTGTGGAAAGGGCTCAGAAGGCAGTGGAGAACGTCATGGAGCACAGACTCAAGAAAATCCAGGCGGCGGAGAGGAACACTCTAGTTGGAAAAGACAAGACCAGAGCCAAGGACATCAAAACTAGGTATCAGGGATGGCCGATAATATTAGATTTTGATAGTATTAAGAAGGATTATCTCCTGATATTGTTCAAAGTTTAACTATATTTAAGAAATTTAAAATATTACAAAATTTAATAACTAAATTTTCCGATTAATGGTGAATAAAATATTTGATAATAATGAAATGTAATTTTTCGTTAACTAAAACTAGACAAGTTTAACTATATTTAAGAAATTGAGAGTATTACAAAATTTAATAACTAAATTTTCCGATTAATGGTGAATAAAATATTTGATAATATTGAAATGTAATTTTTCGTTAACAAACTAAAACTAGACAAGTTTAACTATATTTAAGAAATTGAGAGTATTACAAAATTTAATAACTAAATTTTCCGATTAATGGTGAATAAAATATTTGATAATATTGAAATGTAATTTTTCGTTAACAAACTAAGACTTAATTTTCGATTAGCCAAATAATTGTCATCTTCCTACCTAAATTATTGGTTAATAGAATATTTCAAAATTTGAATGCACAAATTGATGGTTAATTTAATATTAAAAATTTTAAGATTTATGTTAAAAATTGACAACTTCACAATTTAACGGTAATTATAATTGATGAATACGTATTCTTGCTAGGTATGGCATTGATCGACTAGTCGAGGATTACATCCAGGAGGCGATGAATAAAGGAGAGTTCAGCCAACTCTCGGGTATGGGGAAGCCCTTAAAGGACAGATCGAGCTCTCAAAACCCTCATGTCGACTTTGTCACTCATAAATTGAACGAAGTGAGTGATAATTGTCTTATCAACACCCTCAAATAGTCTTTAATCTAAAGAAATGATAATTTAGTCCACCATCTTAAATTAAGAAGTCAAAAGAAAAATTAAAAAATGAAAAAGAAAATGAAAAATCATTTAAAAATTTTTTTTCAATACTTTAATTCCATTTTTTCATGTATTAATTATTGTCTTAATTTGGGGAAATTATCCTGAATATCTGATGCCCCGAGACACTTATTTTTTAAATTCATTTAACAAATTAAATGAATTAATTAATTTAATTTATTTAGTGTCTTCTCTAAAATGCAAGAATAATGAAAAAAACTCTTATAATTAATTAAAAAATGATGATTATTGTTTAATAGTGCATCTCCTGAAAAATTCTAGAATTATTGAATGTTTTTTATTGATGAAATTGTCTCTACCAGATTCTGATTGACAATGGCTTCACCCCGGAGTGGATCCAGCTCTCCAAGGAGATCAGGGAAGAGTCCAAAGACCTCCAAGACTACCTGAATAACACCAGAGAGACCCTAGGAGCGGTTCCGTTCACCCCGGAGGATCTGAAAATCTGGGGAGAAGCCCTGAACTCAGCAGAAGTCACTGTGAAACGAATAAACGACAAAATTAACAAGTACAATCTTCTGGTTCCCATTCTTCAGAAGCAAATGGTCCAGATTAATTTGAAAAATCTTGAGAAAAAGGCACTCGAGAGACCTCCAAACTCCAGGGTTAGGGAGGCTCCACTAATCAAGAGTCAAAGACAGGAAGAAACTTCTTCGATATTCGATTTTTTTATGTCGAATTTCGAAAGTAAGAAAAATTGATGGAAAAACGGCAGAAGAAATAATTTTTATTTTGAAAATTGTTAGAGGACGAGGTTAATCAAGCAAATTGTCGAAATAATATTAATAATATTAATTATAATAATATTTTCACCTCGAAAATTTGTAAATAAAGAAGTTAATTTATGGAATCTTTGAAGAATGATCAAGTGATGATTAATTTGTTAAAAAATTTGTAAATAGATAAATATTAATTAAAATTGAACTTCCATTCGAAATATTCATTGTAAGAACCCTCAGAATATAAAATAGTCTGAATGTCATTAAAAAAAATTGATAGAATTCCAGTGAAAAAAATTATAAAAAAAGGATTCGAAGAAATCCATGAAAAGTGATCAAATAGTGATTCTCATTGGCAATAAACCTGAAAATATTTATTCTAAGGACCATTAGAATACAAAAAAGTCTTAATATCGTAAAAAAAATTGAATAGAATTAGAAATAGAATTTTTCAGTAGTTCCAGTGTAGAGTTCCATCATCTTTGAGATGGATTCTCCCAGTGGCAAGGTATTTGAGAGCCCTGGGGAAGCATTTGTGTTCAGCGACCTTGACCCTCTCTTGGAGGGTCTCCACAGTGTCCCCTGGGAGTACTGGAACAGCTTCCTGCTCGATGATAGCCCCAGAATCGATCTCCACCTGTGGAAAACCCAAATTTGAAGATTAAAAAATCTAGAATTTTCTTTTTATTTTGGGAATTGTCTTCAGGGGATGCATTCACCTCGACGAAGTGGACTGTGCACCCGGAGACCCTCACTCCCATCGCGAGGGCATCCTTGTGGGCATGGGCACCCTTGAAAGAGGGGAGAAGTGCTGGGTGAACGTTGAGGAGAGCTCCCTTCCAACTCTTAACGAATTTCTCTGACAATATCCTCATGAATCCGGCGAGACAGACTATCTCCACGCCGTACCCTCGAAGGACTGAGTCCATTTCGGTGTCGAAGGCCTCTCTGCTGGGATATTCCGTGTGTTTGATCACCTGAAAATGTGGTGAACCCCAAAACTCGAGAGAATTGCAGAAAAATAATTTTTTAGTTTTTGATGAATATCTCTGCATCTGAGGGAGATGGCGACATTTTCTCTTTTTAAACTACTCAAGGATAACTTTTTCGTCAGGGATTTTTAATTTTTAATTTTTCAGTTTTTAAATAAGTCGTTTTGAATCATTTTGCCTGCAGTTTCGTGTGGACAACGACGTTGCATAGTTATATTGCCGAGTGTCAAAAGCATATACTCCCTTTGGTTTGACGTCGGGGGTAAAAAAGTCTACGAAAATTTCGTCAGCTCCCATAGATCCAAAGACATTTCCAAAAAAATTGCAAGCGGCTGTATCTTCGATACAGCTGTAATTGTCCGTGGATACGTCCATGGTCTTTCCTTCTTTTTCGAATTTCCTAGAAACTCCTTGAATTCTCTCAAATTTTCTAGAAACTCCCTGAATTACCTCGAAATGTCTAGAATTTTCTAAAATCCCGATAGATGGCGCTGCCCATAAGAGCCGCTTCCCAAAATACCCCATATTGAAACCACAGACGTATCCACGTCAAAAAACTCGCCCTGGAGATGAATCACGAAATACCAAAGTCCCACCTTGGTAGGGATCCCAGCGCGTTCAGCCCTCCTCAGTCCCTCCACGCCCCCCTTATTCGCTACAACCACCACGATCTTGGCCCCGACCTGCTGCAGCGGATCCTCCGTGGCGTCGATAAGGGCCTGGAGATTGGTCCCGCTCCCAGATATCAGGACCCCCACCCTCTTCCCGCGCTCCTCGAGCCGCCTCACCACCGCGGGCACATGTCCCCTCATCTCCCTCGCCAAACTCCTCCCAAAATTCTCCACAACGACCCTCTCCCCCCCCTCCGCCCCAAGCCCCCTGACCGCCCCAATCACCGCCGCCCCCTGCCCCTGGAGCACCTCCAGGACCCTCTCCTGGTCCTCCGCACCGCAAACAATGACCCCTCCCACTCCGCAATTAAAAGTCCTCAGCATCTCCCCCTCCGAGATGCCCCCGGTGGCCGCCAGCCACCCAAAAACCGGGAGAATCCTCCACTTGTCGGCATCAATCACCACCCCCACCCCCTCGGGAAGGATCCTGGGGATGTTCTCCGTGAGTCCACCCCCAGTGATGTGAGCAAACGCCTTGACAGCTCCCATTTTGAGCGCTGGGACGATGGATCTGGCATAAATCCTCGTCGGCACCAGGAGTTCCTCCCCAATTGTCCTTCCAGAGGGGCCGAAGGGCGCCGGATCCTCAAAGCCCTTCCCCGCGAGCCTCAGGATTTTTCTCACCAGAGAGAATCCGTTGGAGTGGACCCCGGAAGACGGCAGACCGATGACCACATCCCCCGGGAGGATCTCGGAGGTCCTCGGGAGGAGTTGAGAGCGCTCCACTGCCCCCACTGCGAACCCCGCGAGGTCGTACTCCCCTGGGGGGTAGAAGTCCGGCATCTCCGCGGTCTCCCCACCCACGAGGGCACAGCCCGCTTGCCGGCAGCCCTCCACTATTCCGGTGATTACGCTCGTGGCCTGGGAGACGTCGAGGTGCCCGCAGGCGAAGTAGTCGAGGAAGAAGAGGGGCTCGGCCCCGTGGGCCAGGACGTCGTTGACACACATCGCCACCAGGTCGATTCCCACTGGGTGTTGATAGTGATATTGAAGGGTTTTATTAACTGCACATTTTGGTGCACGGAAGATCGTGAGGAGCATTAAGTGGTCGAGCGACAATTATATGTGAAGAGGGAAAGAAAGGTACTAGTGGACGGGCTCTCAATAACGAAAAAAAAAGAATAATGTAATGTGATAAAATTTTATAAATCACTGGCTCTTGGGTGCACGACACATTTGGAGGCATCAGAGAAGAACGAGAACTCACTCGAATACTGGGGGCAATTGACGTGGAGGGAGTTGATGTGCGAACATATCAATTAATTCACACTTTTAACTGGTGTTGAGTGAATTTATGCGTTCATACTCGGACCTAATGCCGTCGCTATAATTGATCAGCTGTTGGTTGTACGATATTCTAGAACTGGCTTAACATATACCGATTTGCGATGCTACTGCTTTGGGTACTTTAAAAATATTCGGCACTGCGTGAATTTCCTGAGAATCGTAGGATTTAAGAGCCCTCGGGAGTAAAGAAAAACTACTGAAATGCGGGGAAAACTTTGTGCCATGAATTCACAGTCAAAAGGCGGTGGAGAAGCCTGAAAGATGGCTTAAAAAATTTGTTCATTTTATAGAAACCGGATTGAACGAGTTGAGGGTGATCTGGAGAGGATAAATAATTTAAAGAAATGTTTAAAAATACGAGGTGAGGGGCCGCCATCTTTAAAACCCTTTGCGGCAGAGGGAGGGGGTATTCAAGCAAGATGGCGGGGCCGACAGCAGTACCACCTCGCATTTTCGAGCACTTCTTAAAATTATTTATCCTCATCGGATCACCTCCAACTCGTTCCACGCTGTTCCTGGAAACTGAACAAATTTCTCAAGCTATCCTTCAGATTTTTCCATCCCCTTTTGGATGAGAATTCCCTCATTTACCCACCAGTCGATTTGTGTTACCCAGACTCTGGACCCAAAACCCATAAAAAAAATTACCTGTGTCATGCTTGTTGATCTCCATAGCAATCTTCAGTTTCGTCCCAACCCCATCAGTCCCAGAAACAAGGATCGGATCCTGAAACCCAGCGGCTTTAGTATCAAAAAGTCCCCCAAACCCTCCAATTGCGCCCAGAACCCCCGAGCGATTGGTGGAGGCCACTAACGGCTTGATCCTGGACACCAGATCATCTCCAGCCTGAATGTCAACCCCAGAAGCCTTATACGACATCTTCCCGACCTTGAGGATGGTCCTGGCGATGCCCTTGTGGGCGATGTCAGTTCTGAACTGCTTTCCCTCGAAGGATATCGTCCTCGCAGCCACAGTTGCCTTGGCAGCTGCAAGCTCCAACGTCGGAGCCAGTGCCACTGTCATCAGGACTCTCCCCCCATTCGTCAGAAGCTCGCCAGTCGATGACTCCGAGGTTCCCGAGTGGAAGATGTGGGTCGCAGGCTCACGCAGGACCTCCTCGACGTGAGAAATTACTTGACCCTTGGAGGATGATGCTGGGTACCCCCTGGACGCCAGGATGACGCCTGCTGAGAACCTCCCCTTGTGCCAATCAATGTCCAAGGATGAGAGTCTGCCCTCGCAGCAGGACTTCATGATCTCGAAGAGGTCGGTGTTCAAGAGGGTCATGAGGATTTGGGTCTCTGGGTCTCCAAATCGACAGTTGAACTCCAGGACTTTGGGACCTTGACGTGTGAGCATCAATCCTGGGAGGCGATGGTGTTTGAGAATGGGGTAAAATTAAATATTTGGAGCAATGAGTCTGGGGTAATTCAGAAAAATTTTTACTTTGTATTTAGTTGAGGATCGGCCCTCTTTGGATACCATTTGACCCTTGTGAGGGTCAATTTATTTCCAAAATGGGTCATTTGACCCTCACAAGAGTCAAATGACCCATTTTGGAAATAAATTGACCCTCACAAGGGTCAAATGGTTTCCAAAAAGGGCCGAATAAAAGGGGATTTATGCATATATAATTTATGCATAAATTATATATGCATAAAGGGGTTAAGGGTCAAATGAGCTCCTTTGAGCACCATTTGACCCTTAACCCCTCATGTCTTCAAGGGTCCTTTGACCCTCAAAACCATTTGACCCTAATCTAGAAATGAAAAATATTTCATGAAACTTTTTTTNCCTCACAAGAGTCAAATGACCCATTTTGGAAATAAATTGACCCTCACAAGGGTCAAATGGTTTCCAAAAAGGGCCGAATAAAAGGGGATTTATGCATATATAATTTATGCATAAATTATATATGCATAAAGGGGTTAAGGGTCAAATGAGCTCCTTTGAGCACCATTTGACCCTTAACCCCTCATGTCTTCAAGGGTCCTTTGACCCTCAAAACCATTTGACCCTAATCTAGAAATGAAAAATATTTCATGAAACTTTTTTTGTTTTTACTTAAGGGTCAAGTAACCCGAACCCATTAAGGGTCATTTGACCCTCAACCCATTACCCCCCCCTCCCCCCCAAATCTAAAAAAACAAAACCCACAATTCCCTGAAAACCACAAACCTGCATACAGCACCCCGACGTAGTCAATCCCATCGCTCCTGAGCCCCTCGACAGTCCTCTTCACCACCCTCTCCTCCACCTCCTTCATCTCCTCCTCCCCAATCAGCAAGCAGGGCCCATAGGCCCCCATTCCCCCCGTGTTGGGCCCCTCGTCATTATCGAAGATCCTCTTGTGGTCCTGCGTCGCTGGCATAATTCTGAAGCTCTTGCCGTCCGTGAACACGAGGACTGACACCTCCTCCCCCTCGAGGAGCTCCTCCACGACGACAGTCTCCCCAGCTGCGCCGAACCTCTTGTCCTCGAGGATGTCCTCGACCGCCTCGCAAGCTTCCTTCCTGTCCTTGGCGACGACAACTCCCTTTCCAGCGGCCAATCCACTGGCCTTGACGACCAGAGCGGGGAAATCCGAGTCCCGGATGAACCTCTTGGCGTCCGGGGGGGACTGGAAGGACCTCCACCTGGCGGTGGGGATGCCGTGGCGATCCATGAAGACCTTGGACCAGTCCTTGTCGGATTCGAGTCTCGCTCCTGACTTCTGGGGCCCGAAGCAGGGGATCTTCTGGCTTTTGAGCTCGTCGGCTAGACCGTTCGCCAGGTGGTCCTCGGGCCCCACCACCACCAGGTCGATGGCGTTCGCCACGCACCAGGTGGCGACCTCTTTATTGTCTTTTATGGACAGGGGGACCAGGGAGACTTTTGGGACTGATGCGATACCGCAGTTCCCGGGGGAGACGAAGATCTTGGAGACCTGGGGGGGGGGCATTGGTCTGGGTTAGTCGGGGTCGCGCCGCGGGCTTTATATTTAGCGGGAAAAACTCCAGGGTAAAATCCATTCGGAGCCGCAAGGAAATGCATTAGAATGGAAAAAAAATTGCAAACGCCAGAGTGGACATATTATCAAGATTTATCTTTATCTTGATATTTATTGGAGAAAGACTTTAGGGCAAAATTCTTCGGGGCCATAAGACAATAGATTAGAATGGAAAAAAATTTGCAACAGCCAGAGTGGACATATTATAAACATTTATTGTAAACATTTATCTTAATGTTTATGGGAGAAAGACTTCAGGAGAGAATTCCTTCGGAGCCATAAGAAAATACATTAGAATGGAATAAAAATTTTGCAAATGCTAGACTGGAGTGTAAAAATCATCAAAAACAGAGTAAAATAAAATGATGAAAGTAAAACGTGAACGTGACGTACCTTCGGGGATTCAGATAACTTCCAGGTGATGGCGTGCTCACGACCACCACCTCCAATCACGAGGACCTTTTGGTCAGACATTCTGAGGAAAATAATTTATTCAGTTTTGATTTAATTATGTTAATTAAAGTTTTTATTCGTTTTCTTTATTTATTTTTGGATATTTATGACGCACGTTTTGGGATTGTGATAAAAAATGTTGACAAGGCCTTTTTATATTTTGTGTCGATGGTTTTGTAGGTTCAGAACATAAAAAAAATTTAATTATCGACTTTTATGAATTTTTGAGGACGAAAAGCACACGAAAGGGAATTGAAATTTTTTTCACGTTTAGTAGTGAATTTAATGAATAATGTGGGTATTACGAATCATTTAGAATTAATTTTTTTGGACTTTTGGAGGAGTTACGACACCAGAAATCATCTAAATACTGTTCTGATGCTTTTTAGCTTTCCAAAAAATAGAGAAATAATTAGAAATGATGGGTTTTTAATTTAATTTGCAGCATAAAAACCATTCAAGATACTATGATTCATATTTTGTTAATATCCAGAGAGTTGATTAGTGAATTATTAATGAATCTTTATGCATAACAAAATCCAAGACACTAAAAAAGCTTCACTCGTATTTACTAACGATTTGAGAAGATAATTTCAAAGTTTTTTGAGTACATTAAAAAAAATTCAAAATCACTTTTACTCTTTTTTTTTAAATCGTTCGAATTTCAGGATTTTTTGAATTTCTCAGTCATCACATGCGTTTTAAATCCATTTTCCAACCCTTTTTAAACAGTTATCCTTAAAAAAAACATTTTAAAATAATATTTTAAACCACAAAAGCTCAAGAAAAAAATCAAAACATTTGCTCGCATTTAAAATCAAACAAAGTGAATAATTACTCAATTATATATGCATAAATTAGTTCAAATTTCAACAACTTTAGGGGTCCTATCTAACCTCCAAGTCACAAAACTCTCTCGAAACTCCAAAAATCCGCTCTAAACCAATTTTTTCACTCAACACTTTTTCCTAAATTAAAATTTCCAATACATTTTTCAGTATAACAAAAACAAAAAATATGAGACTCACTCAATTCCGCAGTTTTAACTTCAACTCCACGTGGTTATTGACCTTGAATTCCCTCTCGCGTCAGCGAGATTCAAAACTGACCCCCGAAACACGTTTTCAATCAACAGGTTGTCAACTCCTCTCACCGCTCACTCCCAGTGGCAATTGATCTTCACTTCCATTTTCGCATCACTCCGTGGGGGATAATCCTCCCATTTATCATCATCTTTATCTGACCCCTCAGCGCAAACACGAAAATAATTCCGAATGATAGTGACGGGAGAATGAAACAAGGGGTCATCAGCGTCAGAACTTATCTATCTGTTGAAATTCTCGACTCCGCATTGAGAAACAAATATTTTTCCCTTTAAAAATAAAAAAAATGGCGCAAAAGTAATGAACATTCTTCATTGCCCGATGATTTCAGCATCTAAATAACAATTATTTTTGCCCAAGTTGAACAATTGGCTAAAACCAATTTTTTTAGAGCCACTTAAACAATTGGCTGAAACCTGTTTTTTAGTGCAATTGAACAATTGGCTAAAACCAATTTTTTTTCTCAGCGCCAGTTGACAAATCTGGATTAATCCAATTTTTTCAACTAGGGCTAAACCAATTATTTTAGCTCAAGTTGAAAAATTGGCTAAAACCAATTATTTTAGCTCAAGTTGAAAAATTGGCTAAAACCAATTTTTTCAGCACCAGTTGACAAATCTGGATCAATCAATTTTTTTAGCCCAAGTTGAAAAAAATGGATCAAACCAATTTTTTTAGCATCAGTTGAACAATTGGTTGAAACCAATTTTTTTAGCTCAAGTTGAAACTGTCAACTCGATTGGAAAACAGATATTTTCAATTGCCCGATGATTTCAGCACCTGAATAATATTTTAGCAGCAAAAAAAATGAATTTTCAATGCTCTGAAGTGAGGGGACGACTTTTCAGAGTGAAAAACAAATTTCATGACATGGAAAATGTTTTTGAATTCTCTGAAAATTGCCATCACACGCAGGATCAATTTTCCGCGATTTTTATCATCCAAGGGGGCGAAACGGGTCGCAAAGGATGACGAGTGGGAGGCGGAGGTGACGAGGGATCGAGAGGAGCTGGAGGATTGTTTGGATAGTGAAGCCTCGAAGGTTTATTTTTCATTGACTTTCAAAATTCAGTAAAAATTCAGATCGAGCCGATTTTGAAATCTCTCGAATATCTTGAGATTGTGAATTTGTTGTTTCATTAATTGATTTCGATTTTATCGTCGGGTAACCGTTGGTTAATTATCATCATCATCATCTTCATATCGTTATAATTATTTAACCATTCAGAAATGTGAAGAAATCCCCCCAAAACTGAAAACAGTAAGAGTGTACCGATGGAATCCGGAGATACCCTCGCAGAAGGCGAGAATGCAGACGTTCACGGTGGATCTGAACAGATGTGGATCAATGGTGCTGGACCTTCTGATAAATATCAAAGCCTATCAGGACCCGACCTTGGCATTCAGGAGGTCCTGCAGGGAGGGCATCTGCGGGAGTTGCGCTATGAACATCAACGGGACAAACACTCTCGCCTGCATCACGTAATGAGAATTGTTTCATTACAAATTCATGAATATCTTGGAAACGCGTGGGTCAAGTGGGAAATGTGATATAAGCTTATTGCTGGAGGATTTTGAGAGCTATAAAAAATATTTTGTGACATTTTTCGCTGAATCCATTATTTCCGAAGATAATTGCAGTTCAATGCACAACCCCATCTTGATCCAACAGCTGTCCACGAATTTGGGATTTTTTGTTTTGGAAATATCTTGGAAACTTGTGGATTTCATGAAAAATATCAAAAGAACTTTTTGATAAAGAATTTCAAGAGCTGTAGAAAAGATTGAGTAATTTTTTTTGCTAACGCAATAATTTACTGAGATTTTCCCAATCTAATTAACGACTGTCTTCACATTCATCTTTTACCCTTCATTCTCATTCCTAAAAATCCCTCGTGATCATTTTAGAAAAATTTCTCCCGATGATAAACCCCTGATCATCTACCCCCTGCCCCACACCTACGTGATCCGCGACCTGATCCCCGACATGGGGCATTTTCTCGAGCAGTACACGATGATCGATCCGTTCCTGAAGCGAGAAGACAAGGCATATCCTCCAGGAACGAGGCAAACCCTCCAGAGCCCAAGGGACAGAAAAAAATTGGATGGATTGTATGAGTGCATCCTCTGCGGATGCTGCACCTTCTCCTGTCCGCCGTACTGGTGGCTGGGGGAGAAGTACCTGGGCCCTGCGGTCCTCCTGCAAGCGTACAGGTGAAAATTCCCCAGATTTTTCGTCTCTCGAGTCATAAAACCCGAAAAATCTCCCAAACTCCTGGATTTATCGAAAAATATGATAAGACATTCTTCGTAGCCCTTGAAATTCCCCATAAAAAATATCTTATGGCATTTTTTGATAGACCCATTAGTTCCAGAGATATCACGAGTTTTATGCACAATGAATTTTCCCTGGTCGGAAAATTTTCAATGCGACGATTACCATCGATTTTATTGAACGGGACAGATGGATCATCGACTCCAGAGACACTGGCCACAAGGAGAGACTCGCTGAAATGCGGGACTACTACTCGGTCTTCCGTTGCCACACCATCTTCAACTGCACGAAGACCTGCCCCAAGGGATTGAACCCAGGGCGAGCGGTGGCGCAAGTGAAGAGACTCATTGCGGGCTACGCAAAGAAGGAGGAGCCAGATTTTCCGGCTGAGGAGACGTACATCGATCCTTGCACTGGAGAGCCGCAAATCAAATGTTGAGAAATAACCGGTGTATTCTCAATTAAACGGGAAATAAATCCATTAATTCTCGAGGAGATTTTATTCATCTTTCTTTTCCAAGTAAAATTCTCAATCAAAAGGGGATGAAAAAATCTGAAGGATAGCTTGAGAAATTTGTTCATTTTCTAGGAACAGCGTGGAGCGAGTTGGAGGTGATCCGATGAGGATAAATAATTTTAAGAAGTGCTCGAAAATACGAGGTGGTTGACTGATGTCGGCCCCGCCATCTTGCTTGAATACCCCCTCCCTCTGCCGCAAAGGGTTTTAAAGATGGCGGCGCCTCCACCTCGTACTTTTAAACATTTCTTTAAATTATTTATCCTCTTCAGATCACCCTCAACTCGTTCAATCCGAGTTCTATAAAATGAACAAATTTTTTAAGCCATCTTTCAGACTTCTCCACCGCCTTTTGACTGTGAATTCATGGCACAAAGTTTTCCCCGCATTTCAGTAGTTTTTTTTTACTCCCGAGGGCTCTTAAATCCTACGATTCTCAGGAAATTCACGTAATGCCGAATATTTTGAAAGTACCCAAAGCAGTAGCATCGCAAATCGGTATATGTTAAGCCAGTTCTAGAATATCGTACAACCAACAGCTGATCAATTATAGCGACGGCATTAGGTCCGAGTATGAACGCATAAATTCAATCAACACCAGTTAAAAGTGTGAATTAATTGATATGTTCGCATATCAACTCCCTCCACGTCAATTGCCCCCAGTATTCGAGTCAGTTCTCGTTCTTCTCTGATGCCTCCAAATGTCGGGCGTCCACGAGGTGCTGCCCCCACACTCCAGCCCCTCCAACCCTCAAGCCATCAGCTGGTACCTGACTGGGTCACACATGCGCACAGCCTCTCCCCCATCAGTTTTTCCACGAAATAAATCCTCCTCCCAGTAGTGTCTCAGAAACTCCCCGTAAACTCTTGAAAAAAGCTGTGTTCAAGTCTTGAAAAAACCAATAAAACGTGCACCAAATATCGAGGAAAACCCGGTGGAAAACAGTATTACGTTCAAGAGGAGCCTTAATGTTCGTGCCACCAGCTGGTGATGTCATCATACACGTTCTCACAGAAGATATTCACCCCTATACCCCCTCAGAAGGGTAGTTTTCCCCTGGATCATGAGGGCTACTGCAAATCACCGATGATAAAGTACATGCGTTGTCTCCACAACAACAAAAACGATAATACCCAGTGTCGAGACGATGCCAGGGAGTATCTCGGATGTAGGATGGAAAATAACCTCATGAGCCGTGAGGATTGGTCGAAGCTGGGATTTCACGATGATGATAAAATTGATGAGGACAAAAAACCAAAAAATACATAGCCAATAATATTACCAATAAATAATTAAAAAAACAAGTACGAAACGAAGAAGGCATAATTAAACGATAGGGGAAATTTATAGTTGGAAATATTCAAGACACCAAGACACGAAGAAAATATATCAATATATTTATCCAATGAAAAAAACGTTCACAGCTTCGAATTTTTGTAGGCAATTGTTGAAGGCAGATTAGGCAGTTAACTACGTGGGCATTAGTAATGTTGTAGGTATACATTTTCTAGAGAGCATATAGAGCTGTTAATATTAATGTTTGTAAACGCATTTGAAGAAGTTGGCGCGCATTTTTTGAACAAGTTGAGTAAATTGGCGGAAAACATTTTTTCGGGACTACCGAAAAAATTGGATCTATCCAATTATTTTAGCCCAAGTTGAACAATTGGCTGAAACCAATTTTTTTGACGCCAAGTTGAACAATTGGCTAAAGCCAATTTTTTCATCGCCAGTTAAAGAATTGGTTGAAACTAATTTTTTTAGCTCAAGTTTAAAAAATTGGTTGAAATCATTTTTTGGTCGCAACTGAAACAATTGGCTCACACTAATTTTTTTTAGCTCAAGTTGGAAAATTAGGTAAAACCAATTGCTTACGCCGAAGTTGTAAAATTGGTTTGAAACCAATTTGTTTCTAGCATTTAGAAAAAATTGGCTGATACCAATTTTATTACTCAAATCGCAAAAATTGGCTAAACCAATTGTTTTGTTCACCGCAAGCTCAAAAAATTGGGTAAAACCAATTGTTTTCAACCTTCAGTACCACCAAGCCAAAATTTTCTACAGAGATAACGTATCAAAAATATTCAGGACCGAAAAGAAAAAAAAAATTCATACAAATCACACAAAAAACTTGCATATCTGTGAACAATTAAGCTTTAAGAATCGATAAATCGTGAGAACAATAAAGAAAACGAGCAATTAAACAATGGCAACGAGAAAAAAAGTACTTCTGGGCTGCACCGGAAGTGTTGCAACGATAAAACTACCCTTGCTATGTCAAAAATTACGCGACCATAATATCGACGTGAAGATTGTGGTGACAGAGAGGGCAAAGCACTTTCTGAAGGACGCAGAATTTCCCCAGGACATACCTGTCCTGTCCGACACTGTGGAGTGGGCTGCATGGCAGGATCGTGGCGATCCTGTTCTGCATATCGATCTTGCCAAATGGGCTGATTTATTTCTCATAGCACCACTCGATGCCAATACTATGGGAAAACTAGCTTCCGGCATTTGTGATAATATACTCACCTGCGTTGCTAGAGCTTGGGATCCTGTTAAGCCCCTGCTATTCTGCCCTGCCATGAACACTAAAATGTGGGAGCATCCTGTTACTGCACCTCAGGTAGGTGATAAATTCGTGATTTAATGTCCCAGGATTATTTTCAATTTAGTTTTATTCAAGGCTTCAGGTTTCGAAAATTCAGGTCCAAACGTGAATTTAAGATCAGAAATTCATCCAGATCGTGGAATAAATTCAGGTTCAGTTGTGACTTTAGTTATGAATTAAATTCAGGGGGTCGCCAATCGATATCTGGGGTAAATTTAGATTCAAACCTGAATTTAAGATTAGGAAATCATTTTGATCGTGGACTAAATTCAGGTCCGGATATGGCTTTAGTTGTGGATTAAATTCAGGTTGAGCTGTGAATTCAGGTGTATCCATAAATCTCATTCATGGATTAAATTCAGGTCCAGTCATATTTAGTACCCAGTATTAAATTCAGCTACAAACCTGAATTTAGGCCCAGGAATAAAATGAAATTGTGGACTAAATCCAGGAACAATCATAAATTTAGGACCTGAATTAAATTGAAATCATCATAAATCTATATCTGGACTAAATTCAGCTCCAAACCTGAATTTAAGACCCGGAATAAATTCAGGTCGTAGACTCAATTCAGGATCAATAATGAATTTTTCAGTATCTCGAGAACGGCTGAAGATAGAAAGATGATTTTTTCTTCATCATAAAGGTCTGAAAATTTTCCCTCCAATGAGAAATAGAAAATAAAGATTTTGCCCCAGTGGTGCTAAGATATCGGGGCAAAATGGGTTGTTTCGTTTATTTTATGATAAATTTCCCCGGCTCTGAATCAGAATTGCTTTCGTAGCCCTAGATGTCAGGGATAATCCCAGTTGTTTCAAGGTAGAAGGCTTAATACTGATGAATTCATAATGAAATACGGTTTTAGGTGGCTCTACTCAAGTCCTGGGGATACAGAGAGATTAGTTGCATCACTAAGACACTTATGTGCGGTGATACTGGTGTTGGAGCTATGGCTGAAGTAGACACTATCGTCCATACAACGCTCAGATCCCTCAACCCCTGGGATCCATACTCACCGTCTGATTTACGTCATAAGAAGTAATTGGACTATTTAATCAATTCAAGGGAGGGATTACGAAGAAAAAAAAATAATAGGGAAAATTTAAGACAATGTTACTCGTGTGAAGCACTACCTGTATGAGAATAAAATCGAAATTGTGTTTGTAACAAAAAAATTTCTTTTTATTTGAAAAAAAATTCCAGTGGAAAATAATGAGATTGAAGAGGAGATTGAGTCGTATACATTTTCTTTATTTATTTATACAGTGATTCTGCATTTATTCACTTAAACATTATAATTCCACTCTATTATTCCACTTATTCCCTAGAAGTTGCACGTCAATCCATTCTGCGACGAGATTTCGCAAAAAAAAAAATTGAATTGAAAACAAATTTGATAATTATTGGTGATTTAATTAGACTTTTTGCAATCACAAGAAGCTCATAAAAATTTATACGTAGAAAACGTGTCTCAGACTATACCAATATTAAACAATAACATCGCCATTTCCTCCTCATTCACTATTCATAAATACCGTTACACATATAAGATTAATTTTCCCATATTCTTTGAGTTTCACATAAATATCACAGTTTATAAAACTGATGCACAAATATCGTGCCCTTAATTGTAGTTTCATGAAAATAATAAATCATGTAAAGAGGCATATAAAAATTATTTATGTTTTTTTTATTTTGTTGGTTCAATTATTGGATGGACTGTTGATTTTTTTATGCATTTTGAAAGGATCATTTTGAGGCTAATGAGGAGATTCCATTGTCAACTGAAATTTCATGTTCTCTCAACAATGAATCCTTGACTTTTTAACAATTCCAATTTTTTTGAAATTGTTTGGCAGTTTTTTTTTTCATTTCATAATTAGGCACATTTGTCTCCATCACGGATTGTCTCTTCTATTTTCATGTGAAAAAAAAACGTAAAAAAATAATTACCTACGTTATTCTAATTGCAAGTACAAAGAGACTACTAATTATAACAGAAAATGTGATTGTGGATGCTGACGAGGAGCTCTGGATGACTTTGGCCCTGTGCGACGGATAATCGATATCATTAGTCTCCATTTCGGGAGGACAGCCCATCCAGAAGGGGGCGGAGGGCTTGGGACGCTCGTGTGCCACTCGCATTCGCATGTCATCGAATTCCCAGTAACCTTTGCCTTTGAAGAAGTAGGTTTTCCCTGGAGAAAAGATTGATTTTTAATGTATCAGTTGTACATGGGGATTTATCTTGGTGATTAGAGATTAGGAAAAAACATGGGGGAATTTTTTTTGCGGGAAATTTCATGAGCTGAAGAGTTCTTCTAAGAGCATTAATGACTGAGAATAATGTCTAGAAAAAATTTTTGTTTTCGGATTAAATTCAGGTCTGGGCTTAAATTCAGGTCCAGGCATAAATTTAGATCCAGGACTATTTTCCAGGCATGGAATAAATTCAGGCTTGAGACTTAATTCAAGTTCAGGCGGGAATTTAGCTTAAGGTTCATGGATCGACCTAAATTTATTCCTCGACCTGAATTTAAGCCCTTCCATAAATTCAGGTGAGTAAATCCAGGTCTATACAAATTTTTAGAACTAGTTAGAATTTCTGTCGAGACCTATTTTGCCCTGAATATGCACCTGAACCTGAATTTAAGCCCCGACAGATTCAGGCCTCTACCTATTCTTGGAACTAAATTAATGTTAACATATTAGCTTGGGCCTGCTCATAAATTGCCGCTAAAAAATTGATGTCTTTTCAGGACTAAATTCAGGTCCAGACGTCGTGCTAGACTTAAATTCAGGTCTCAGCCAAAATTGTCGTATTTTTCCCAAAACTCATTGTTCCCAACAAAAAAAGGACAATTAAAAAAAATCGTATGATTCCGATTAATCACTTTGTAAATGTAAAATGCTCACCATTCTTCCACTGGAAGACAGCATCAATATTATACGGAACACCGGCGAACATGGTCATATCCCTGGGATAGTCCAACTCAATGAAATTCTCCGATTCATCATACCTGAAAGTTAGAGTAGTGGAAAAAGTGAAACCAAGTGTTCAACTGAAGAGCTTTTATATCATAATGAAATAAATGTAAGAGTGATTACCTCCAGTACATGGTACCACTGAAGAAATAAGTCCTACTGTTGTGTCCCCATACCATGGCCCCATCAATCTTCTCAAGTTCATCCGGTAATCCAAGTGTCCTCAGAGGCCTTGGATAGCCGGGCTCGAGTTTATTAGCGTTGAAAACGTAGTAATTCTTACCAATGAAGAATACAATTTTCTTGTCTTGTCTCTCGTACACAGCATCCACATGATCAATATCCTCGGGCAGATTGAATAGACGGGTTATCTCAGCTGGATAGCCCTCGTAAAGCCCGTGATCGCCTATTCTCCAAAGATACTGCTCGGGGGACAAGGATAATGACGCAGTTAATTAACTTTCACCCATAAAAATCATCATTCAAATTGCATGTTGACACAGTTTAGTCGAGGAGGGGTTGAGAATAGCCTCGTTGCCTAGATTGAGAGATTCAAAGGCTAATTGAATGCGAGGGAGGGATGTGGTTTTTTAATACGATGTGAACGAATGATTTTCAGTTATCTTGAAACTTGAAAAGATGAGGGAGATAAATTCAGCTGATTTTTAACTCAATTCATAATGTAGACCTGAATTTAGGACTGGGAATAAAATCAGGTCTAAATTGGAAGTCGCTTCAGATGTGAATGAGGTCTGAATTTTAGGCGACTTTAAATGAGGTGCAAATTTAAATTCAAATAGGGGACTAAATTCAGGTCCTGGATTACATTCAGGCTCAGGTATGAAATTAGGTCCGTATTTTTTACATGCGCCTGAATTCATGTCTGAACACGAATGAAAGCCCAGAATTGAATTTATATTTGGGCTTAAATTCAGGGTCTGACATAAAATCAGGCCCGGACAATCTGGTTTGGCGTATAAAATCAGGTTCGGGAAATTTATAGGTGGGATTAAGTTAAGGTTGGGTTAGAAATTTAAACCCTGATTTGACTTTATATCTTTATGCAACTTAATGTTGTGGACTAAAATCAGGTCCCGCTGTAAATTCAGGTAGGGATATAATCGAGTTAAAATTCGACTGGAATTAAATTCGGGGTCCACCACCGATTTAATCCATGTCCTGAATTCATGTTTGTACACAATCAGGTTCTAGGCCAAAATCAGGCTAGGGACTAAATTCAGGTCCATTTATAAATTCAGGCGCAAATATAATCGAGTTAAAAATAGATTGGAATGTGGTAATAAAATTTGCGCTTGACCTAAATTCAGGTTTTAGGTATAAATTTAAGCCCGAACCAAAATTCATAGTTGAATTTTTTTTTTCGGAAATAAATTACGCATTAGAAACTGTGTCTAATGAAAGCTCCACTGTGACGTGTAATTAAATTCACATACCCGTCCCTTAAAAATGAACACCTCCCGTCGAATAATGCTAATGGCATCATAGCTCGTGTCACACTTGTCAGGAATATCATTTCTCGGTGGTGGTGTCCATCTGTGTCTTGGTCGATGGGGTGTGACAGTGGTGGTTGTTGTCGTGTGATGCCTGTGTGGTTTCCTCGGTCTATCTGGATACTCCGGCCGTTGTGGATAATAATCAGGTCTCTCTGTACGCCAGTTTGGCTTGTATGGATAGTGATTAGTTCTGTCTCGACTCGGATCATCTGGATAAGTGTTTGGCCTGGTTGGACGGGTTTTCCACGGCCTTCTCGTTGGTGAACGGGTACGAGGCGTTGTTGTTGTTGTTGTTGTCGTTGTTGTTGGACGAGTTGGACGTCTGGCGTCTGGTAAATTACCCCATAATTTATCCTCCGGTGCGCCTGCATCAACATAATTGATGAATCAACGACTAAAACTAATGAATTCATCAATTTTATCTCGCCGATAATTTTCAATATCACGGAATTTTTAATTGAAAACTCGTTTGTAGAAAAGCTGGAAAATTTTCAGCCTCCGAATGGCACCTATAAACCTCTCTACTCCAATTACTTCCCGTGATAATTAACAAACAAATTAAGGACTTGAAAACTTTGAGTGGAAATATCTCAGGAACTTGTGCAGCAAAAAAGGTTTATTACCACCATTTGGAGGCGGAAATTTTCCGACCCATCTGTCACAACAATTTTCAACCCCAAATTTTGTCATTTCCCCTCTCGATTATTCCCCAATTTCTCGACCAAAAAATAAACTCAAATTGAATTTGACAAAGAAGGAAATGAAGTGACGCTGACGATGTTTTCGTGGAAATTGGTACAAGACTGGGTGGATGGCGTGCAACCTCAGGGGAATTCCCCCCCGCCCCCCGCCCCTTCCTTATGTATTTTTTTCCCTCTCATTTCCCCCCGCCCCCTCCCCTCCCCCGTCCCTTCATTTTCTTTTTCTCTCTGATGAAATCATCCTGGGGATTAAATCGTCGCTGGAAGGTACGGAAGTTGATCCCAGAATGGTGAAATAGAAGGTATAAGGGGTTTGCAAGAGGTGAATGGAATGACGTCAAGGATAATGGGATTCCCCCTGGAGTGAGTTCAGTGGAAAAAGTGAGTAAAAATCAGACGAGTTTTCTATCTTTGAGACATTCTTGCTGGAGAAGGAAGGGAGGGAGAGAAAAAGAGTCCGAATGCGGGCGAGAGTTTTTACGATATCCCCCATCGCAGATGTTCTTCTGTTCTGTAGATCTTTCTATCGAGAAAGTGAGAGAGAAAAAAATTACCTGGAGAATGTAAAATAGGGGAAGGATGGGAGGGATTGCTGGAGAGAATTCCTGGGAATCTCGTAGTTTTTGGCAAGTAAAGTGCAAACCACGGACTTTGGGCGAGGTTTGTGGACACTTGGACTAACTCTAACTGTCCCGGGTACTTATCCCCACCGAGGGTAGTGCCACGGAAATCGGAAACTTAATCTCGAATGCGCCCAGTTTAACTCTTGTCCAGTGGTTTACGTTATTATCTCGGCGGTT